AGTGTTGTGGATGAGGAAAGTTGCTTCTGGGTTTGCTGATTACAAAATGGTACGTTATTTCCTGATCGGATGGAAATTAACAGAGCTATGGCCATCGGAAGCCGCAAAAGTGGGAAAATGGGAAATCTTAAAATTTTATAGGGGTACCCCTAGCAAAAATTTCGAAAAATTTAAAAATCGTATTTTAGCAGTGTTTTGGATGAGGAAAGTTGCTTCTGGGTTTGCTGATTACAAAATGGTACGTTATTTCCTGATCGGATGGAAATTAACAGAGCTATGGCCATCGGAAGCCGCAAAAGTGGGAAAATGGGAAATCTTAAAATTTTATGGGGTACCCCTAGCAAAAATTTCGAAAAATTTAAAAATCGTATTTTAGCAGTGTTTTGGATGAGGAAAGTTGCTTCTGGGTTTGCTGATTACAAAATGGTACGTTATATTCTGATCGGATGGAAATTAACAGAGCTATGGCCATCGGAAGCCGCATAAGTGGGAAAATGGGAAATCTTAAAATTTTATAGGGGTACCCCTAGCAAAAATTTCGAAAAATTTAAAAATCGTATTTTAGCAGGGTTTTGGATGAGGAAAGTTGCTTCTGGGTTTGCTGATTACAAAATGGTACGTTATTTCCTGATCGGATGGAAATTAACAGAGCTATGGCCATCGGAAGCCGCAAAAGTGGGAAAATGGGGAAATCTCAGAATTTTATTGGGGTACCCCAAGGAAAAATTTCAAAAATTTTAAAAACCGTATTTTAGCAATGTTTTGGATGAGAAAAGTTGTTTCTGGGTTTGCTGATTACAAAATGGTACGTTATTTTCTGATCGGGTGGAAATTAACAGAGCTATGGCCATCGAAGCCGCAAAAGTGGGAAAATGGGAAAACTCACAATTTTATAGGGGTACCCCTAGGAAAAAATTTGAAAAATTCTAAAACCGTATTTTAGCAATGCTTTGGATGAGGAAAGTTGCTTCTGGGTTTGCTGATTACAAAATGGTACGTTATTTTCTGATCGGATGGAAATTAACAGAGCTATGGCCATCGAAGCCGCAAACGTAGAAAAATGGGAAAGTCTCTGAATTTTCTGGGGTACCCCTAGGAAAAATTTCGAAAAATTTAAAAACCGTATTTTAGCAATGTTTTGGATGAGAAAAGTTGTTTCTGGGTTTGCTGATTACAAAAAGGTACGTTATTTTCTGATCGGATGGAAATTAACAGAGCTATGGCCATCGAAGCCGCAAAAGTGGGAAAATGGGGAAATCTCAGAATTTTATTGAGGTACCCCTAGGAAAAATTTCGAAAATATTAAAAACCGTATTTTAGCAATGTTTTGGATGAGAAAAGTTGTTTCTGGGTTAGCTGATAACAAAATGGTACGTTATTTTCTGATCGGATGGAAATTAACAGAGCTATGGCCATCGAAGCCGCAAAAGTGGGAAAATGGGAAAACTCACAATTTTATAGGGGTACCCCTAGGAAAAAATTCGAAAAATTCTGAAACCGTATTTTAGCAATGCTTTGGATGAGGAAAGTTGCTTCTGGGTTTGCTGATTACAAAATGGTACGTTGTTTCCTGATCGGATGGAAATTAACAGAGCTATGGCCATCGGAAGCCGCAAAAGTAGAAAAATGGGAAAGTCTCTGAATTTTCTGGCGTACCCCTAGGAAAAATTTCGAAAAATTTAAAAACCGTATTTTAGCAATGTTTTGGATAAGGAAAGTTGCTTCTGGGTTTGCTGATTACAAAATGGTACGTTGTTTCCTGATCGGATGGAAATTAACAGAGCTATGGCCATCGGAAGGCGCAAAAGTGGGAAAATGGGGAAATCTCAGAATTTTCTGGGGGTACCCCTAGGAAAAATTAGTTTATAGAAGCTGCCTAAGACAATATTTTGGCCATCAGCCAAAATGACGACCTTAGGTCAGTGTCGAAGAGATATGTGAAGAAGTTAAGCTAAGAGCGCGCATGGTTTACACAAAAAAGACTTCAAGATTTAGTTTTCCCCACTGACTGTCGTTCTCTTACTTTTTGGGGGACTTTGCGGCGAATTGGATGATGTGGCTAACAGCAGGCAGCAGGCTGCAGGAGATTTCAATAAAATACACTCGGAGTTTGCACAAAAAGAGCTAATGACAATATAAATTCTCGTGGCGTGTGGAGGGGCCTGGCAGATGGGTAACGGGAGTTGGACGGTTCCCAGCTTGGAGATTTCCCTTTCTCTCCGAGTGAGCACAAAGGGGGCGGAAGAGCCGGATGGGGCATGGCTGACAGCAGTTATCGCTGAAGCGAAAGGCAGTAATTAGCGTAAATTGAGTTGGTAAAAAGCGCAAGTGTTCCAAAATCCGCCACCCACTTGCCCCACCCACCCAATGCCCTTTTCTCTCTCTCCTCTCCCCGTAATTTACCAGTGGGTAGTGGTCCCTTGTTGTTGTGGTTGCCGCTACTGTTGTTGATTATGTGGCAATTAGTTGTCGCTTTTGTGGCAAGCCGCGCGACACTTTCAATCAGAGCATCTTATTCCGACAGCCACTAATGCCCATCCAGGTGCGGCTTAGTGAACTAATTAAACAAGCCGATTACGGCCCAACATCCCGCTGACCTTGCTATCCCCCCACCCTTACCCCCACCCATACAAATTTCCTCAGTGGTGAAAAGTTTGCCACAACTCCCAACCGACAGACAGACGACCTCACAACATTTCTCCAGTTATCAACTTTCTGCACATATTGTCAGAGGTGTTTAAAAGTCTCCCAGTGTGTGTGGTATAGTGTGTGGGTCACTGGTGGGTTAAGTGGGCGGCAGCCAGGGGGCGTGCCTTCAGTCTAATGAGCGGCATTCGCCCAGCGAAGTCTGGGTATTAGAAACTTTACGAAATGGCAAAAAACCAAAAGTTTTCAATGTGGTTGCACCAAAAAATATTGTTTCAGGAATTCATAAATTTATGAAGACGAATAATAGGAATACTCTTTATTGAATATATATATTTTTATACTCTAACTTTTCTTGTCGACATTGAGAAATAGACTCTTTTAAGGTAAAAAAATGATTAATTTGCTTATAAAAAAAGGATTCATACTTCATTTAGAGACTTTATAAAATATTCCCATCGTCAATCAATAATTTTCCAATCTATCTCTCAGGGTATTCGATTCTCGCTGTTTCTTTCTTGGAAAAAACACTTTAAAATATTTTCCCAAAATGATTGATGACTACCACGGAAGCCAAAGTACTCCGGAGTACGGACTAAATGCCAAAGTTCTTCACGTTTAGTTTATTTTTCAGGCCTTTCTACAAACGACTTCTTTTAGCCCAACAACCCCGAGACAAATGCAGTTCATTTGCCAAGCGAGAATTTTATGATTTATGAAAATGTTCTACGAATACTTCTGTTTTTCCTGCTAAACAGGAGGGCGTCATTCCGCCCACATTGTAATACAATCAGGATCTGGCTCGGAATTAAATCTGCTAACCGAGTTACAGCAGCCGAGGTGGAGCGTGGGAGATGAGCGAAAAGGGTTCCATTCTGGGGCATTGTGTTGCATATTCAACAATTGCAACAGCAAACCGACGAAGTAATAACAAATGCAAATTTTAAGCTCAAGAATTTTCAGTTGCAAAAATTGTACAAATTTATTTTTGCATTTTTATTATTTCCTTTTTTTTTTTTTTACTTATTTTAGTTATTTGTGCTTTTTGGCTTTGGGCAAACGCAGCTGGCAAAAGTGTAAATGAGTTGAGTTTGTGCCGACTGGCTCCCTCCCCTTGACAATTGAATTTGTTTAAATTGTTGCCGTCCTGAGTTTCTGGGGGGGGAAGCACCAGAATCTTAACCATGCATCAGCAATCAGGATGGGGAAGGAAGCCAGCCCAGCAGTAGTAGTCACAAGAAGCCACTAAACTCCAAGTCGGAACACAATGTCCTCGCTGAGAGCCAATATAATCAAGCGGCAGCAGCTGGCAAAAAATGAAGTGCCAATGTGTGGGTGTGTAAGTGTGGGTGGGGGAATGTACAGTGAGAAAAATATTAGGTTGACTATTAAACGCTGGTACTTTTATAAAAGATTGACTTTTAAAGGGATTAAAAGGGCATCTGAAATACCGATATGGCCTATAATTTGCATATCCTTTTATGTACAAAATATCCTTTTTATATTTAATTAAATTTCTCCAAGTGTAGAGGCGCTATGGGCAGGGCAGTGGGCACTGATGAGTTCACTTCAGTGAGCAAATGAAACGATATTGTTGTCAATTTAGGTGCAACAAAGAGCAGCATCAAACCCGTTCCCACTATATACCCCACTACCTCTCTCCCCATCTCTTTCTAAAATCCTGCAGACAAGAAGAAGACAAAACAAACAGCATGCATGAAATGTGAGGGAAAGAGACGAAAAGAGAGGGCGGGCTATAGCTGGGGTAACAACAAAGGCAAACAACAACAAATTGCATGTCCTTCCGCCTTAGGTTGCAACACAATATACAACGCACTCATATTTACTTTGTTCGGAGGATCCTGTTCCAGGCTTTTCCTTCAACCACCCCCTTCCACTCCCTCCGCCAAAGTCCATCAGGCCTCTCGCTTCCACCTGGACCCCGGCGAACTTCTCCTGGCCCAGCTGCAACATTAATGAAAACTGCAAGCGACCTGACACAGATACGTGTGAGTTGCACAAAAAGAGAACGGGAAAAAGGCGGTAAAGGACACAGGGCCATGGCTGCACCTTTATTTACAGACAGCGAGGGGCATGGACATGGTCGTGGCGGCAGACGGAGAGGTTGGAATGCAGGCAGGCAAAGCTTTTCCAGAATTGGACAATATTTTTAGCCATTTTCAGTGCCTGATTTTCCTCCAGGTGATCTAGGATAATTGCCAACTAAACTGGGCTTAATGGTTTGGCAAAAGGATGGCAATTTCAGCCAACCGTTTTAGACAAAGTTACTCTTAAGAAAATACCAAATAAATGGCCAATAATCTGAAGCTTTCAAAAGGATTAAAAATGTATACTTTTTATAGACAGAGTTGCATTTATTTTTTAGATAGATGGGCTGATAAATAGCTGGGCGAATAAGTTAAATAAATAAATAAATAAGGCACTATAATTAAGCGAAGATTACACTAGGCTGATAGCTGAGCAGAGCAGTGGGAAATGGCGTTATCCTGCGAAGTCCTTTCAGCTCAGAGCCTTACAACCTCAACGCCCTGGGGAGCGAACAGCGACTCGGCTGCCAATTTCAGTTTCTCGTTGACCAATTTGGCAATTTTGGGAGTGCGTCGCCACACAAATTCCCGGGTGCGGTCGTGATTGTCCTTGCTCTCCACCTCCACCTGTGTGCAAATCGCAAGATGTCAAAGGGTAATTGCTCAAAGGCTTGGCCACCACTCACCTGCTTGGGCTGCTGCACCTTGATGGACATCAGGGTGGCCCGATCATCCAGCACACTGAACTTAATCCTGCCGATCATCTCGTTAGTCCTGGCCGTGGCGCTCTTGACGCTGCGTACGCTGCCCTTCTTAAAGGACTTCTCCACGCGCAGGATCAGGGGGCCCAAAGTGAACTTGGCCTTGATCGTAGAGTTGCGTCCTTCAGCGTCGCTGATCACCTTGACGTTTCCAACTCGCTTCAGGGAAGCCAGTCCGGAGAGGCTGCCCTCCGCCTTCTGGAGTTTTTCCACCTCGCCTCCTGCGGCAGGACTTGCCCCCGCCTTGGTGGCACCAGCCGGCTGATTGTAGTTGCCTGATTTGAGGCCAGACGCTTTTTTGGTATTGTGCTTGTGGCCCTGAGTGCCGGTCGAGGACTTCTTTTGGCTCACTTTTGTGCTCGAAACAGTGCGCACTTCCGCTTTTGCAACCTCCCCATCCGAGGCGGGGGAAACGGCCTGGTCGGAGGCCAATTCAGAGGGGCTGGGCTTCTTTTCTACCGCTTTGATGGCCAGCTCGGACTGTAATTGCGTCAATTGCTCCTGCAGCTTCACCGCCTCCGCCTCCTCGTGATGCTGATTGCTGGCCCGAGGCTCCGAACGCGTGTTCTTTCTGTCAAAGTGCGACACAATTTAATTTGCTCTTTAAAAAGATAGTTTAAGGCTAGATTTGTTAAGAACAGAACAGGCTATTCCCTTAGGACTACAAATAATAAATGCTTTACACTTTTGCCTGCAACCAAATGGAATATTCACGTTGTTGAATCAATAATGTATCAATTAATATTTTAAAAAGTGCAATTCCAATTAATTTTTTCCATTCCTACACATTTGGCAAAAATATTTTAAAGCAAATTCGATAAAAAGTGATAATCAAGAGCACAAGGACCTCGCACTTCACTTAGTTCAAAAAATATAGCCTACTTATTAGCTGGCTTCATAATAATTACAACACTTACAGTTTCTTATGTCCTCCGGCCTTCTGGTTGGTTGTGGTGGTGACCTTGTTTTTGTTCTTGTTGCTGGTGGCTTTAACCGCCGCTCCAGTGGAGGCGGTGGGCGTGGCCGAACGACCTGCTAGGCGTACCACAAAGGGATCATAATTGTCGGCCACGATTCGATTTATGCGCGAGAAGATGGCGTCGATGAAGTGGTTGTGTCGGGCCTGGAAAGCATCCGTGGACATATCGATGACGTTGTTCTTCAGGTCACCTGTGGGCGGGGTCGAAAACAGGCAGGGGAGAAGGTCGCAAAGGGCAGGAGGGGGGAGGGACGGAAAAATGTTCACATTAGTTCGGTTGAGCTGAACACAATGAAAGTTCAATTCGAGGGGAAAAGGAGTGGGCGGACATTGTGGTTTTGCTTTAGTGAATTGGTGTGTGTGTGAGTGTCTGTGTGTTTTTGTGTGCGTGATAGGCGGGAAGGGCAAATTGCGGAGTGTGTATTCCATAGGCATGTGCTTTGTTTTCCACCTCTAATTACATTCAAGTGCATGGGGAATGTTCCAGTGGGCCTGTGCATGGGTTTCTGTTTTGTCCTGACCACAGAACAGACTCACACACGGACACAAAGGGACCCCAGTGATTATTCGATGGCGGTCGGGGGTTAGCAAATAATGTAAAAAAGAAACACTGGCATTAAAGCCTCCCCAGACATGCAGCTGGGCGTAAAAAAATATGTGCACTACCCACAACCGGCGATTTATAGCGCTTGTCCTCGCAGACATAAATCATCACAACTTTAGTGCTAATTAATAGGGTGCTTAATCATTTAATAATTAAGTGATTTGTTATAGCTACTTGTTCTAGCCTTGTAATTTAGCAATTTCTACACAGATTTAAAGAACTTCAGGGTTGGTTAAAATAAAGTTAAGACAAATATTTATCCAACTTTTCACAAAATTGTGACACCTTTCCGGGAATGCAATTTAACCCCCAAAAATAATCCATTTCCGAGACCTCGGTAACCCTCGGTAATTTCGTGTGCAGCTGGAAAAGTCCCCTCCACTGGACAGCATCCACTGTGTCCTTGTTCCCCGCCAGCTAATCCTTGTCTCCTCCTTATCACTATGACCCATCAGCCGGACGGAGCCTAACCTCGGGCGAGAGCCGCAAGCGGATATAATCTCACACTCGACCGCCGTGAACCGTGATGAGGTACTAATGTCCTTTTTGCATGTCCCCTGTTAAGTGCCCGCCCACTTCCAGAATCAGTTTTAGTTTTAGCGATTGCCCTTTACCCCCTTCACAGTTAATTGAAGCAAAAATTGTAAATTTAAAGCGGCATGTCCTGAAATAGATAACGGCGTGGGAGTGGCCACAAAAGGGGCTGGTCGCGGTATTATTAGGGGGTGAGCTGCTCGGATGCACGATTACAATTACAATAACGGGAGCCAGAGCAGAACTAATTAGGGCGAATGCTACAGCTGCAGATGGGCGATATGAATGATATGAGTTGGCCAAGATACCGCGGAGTATTACAGTAATGAGACCGAGTAGGAGAACTGCTAATGATGAGTGTGTGAGGAGAGACAGAAACAGTCAGAGACAGAGATAGAGATGTACATTTAAGGACAGAGAGAAAGCCAATACCTTGCCTAAGGTGACGCTTGAAAGTTTGCTATGGGAAATAAAACACAAATTCCACACTTCCATTTAAAAGCTGTTTCAGTGAATTTCATTTCGCAAATTTATTTAAGCAAATTTCATGTTGATTTGTGGTTTGTTCTTCATCATCTTGCTTGGTTTTTGTGGATGTCTGTTTTTTTTTTTTGTTTTTTTGTCTTGTTTTGTTTTTACAATAAATAATAAATAAATAAATAAATAAATAAATTATAAATTAAATGACCTAAAAAGCAAAAGTTTAACAATTTTCTATTTTCTTTCATTTTGTGAAATTTTGCGCTGCCTTTCAAGCGTTCAACTTTTAGCTACAATTTGTTGTCGTCGTTTTTTTAGTTTCAGTTTTTTTGTCTATATATTTTTTACAAAAATTTGCGTTATTTACGTTTGGAAAATTATGCGAGCCGAAAAAGAGAGCAGAAAAGCCAAATATGCAAAGTAGATTACATTTTTTTGTTGTCAATTGTAAGCCAAATGTATGAAAGCAAGAGAGCTACATAGAGTGCTTGAATGCGTTGGTGTGCGTGTGCATGAGAGAGACAGAAATAAAGATAGAGACAGGTACAGATATAGAGAGTAGGTGAGATAGGCAGTTTGTTTACATCGTGATAATTAATTCCGAATCTGATCATTGTTTTGTTTTAATTACAAAAATAAATACGAAATCAGTGTGGGAGAGCGATTACAACTAGAAATAAATAAATTACACTAAGTGAACAATTCTTATTGCTGGTGTTGGTGTTGATTTTGTTGTTGTTGTTACATCAATTTAGCTAAAAGTGTAATGCGGGATGTGTAATGAGAGAGGGGGAGAGATATATGCACCAATCAGAGATGGACAAAATCAGAAAAACACCCATCGTGCGTATACTTAATATGGCCCATCTCTGATCTCAGCTGTGCATGTGTTGGAGTGGGAAAGAGAGCAAGGGAAGCCATTTTTGTTTCTTCACGATCTTTGCTTCTCTTGCTCTGTTCCTGCTTCTTCTTAACTCCTTCTTCCGCCTCTTCTGCGCCATCTTCTTATCTTCATCTTCATTTTCAACTTCTTCTTATGCTTTTCGTGTGTGTTCCCTTTGAATTCAACCAATTTGTGCTTGGGCATTAAACATGTTGCTGTTGCAGTTGCAGTGGCAGCTGTTGCTGTTGCAAATCTCTTGTCAGGTGAAACAGTCCGTGCGTAAATAACTCAACAATTGTGCGGTTTTTTGTGGGAAAGAAATGGGGATTGCTTTGGGGGGAAGTAACAATTGTGCTCTTGTTTTTGCAGATAGTTCGACTAGCACCAAACTCTCGATGAACACCATCCCCACCATGTGGGTGGCGGGGTGGTGTAACGTATTTACTTAACTCAGTTTTAAATAAATTAAAAGGATAAAGGAGGGTGGGGAGGATAGTCAGTGCAGGATGCAAAGATGCAATTGCAAATGTCCGGATCGCGTCCTGCCCCAAAAAAGGGAAAAATGTTTTTTGAAAATTCGCTTTCCTCTTCTATCGGGGCTATCGATTGTTCTGGTTGGTAGTATTATTTTTGTTGTTGTTCTTGTGGGTCCCTGTCTTCAGTTGTTGTTTTTTGTTGGTTGTTGTTGTTGTTCATATTTTTTTCTATGGTTTGTTGTTGTTTTTGTTTTGTTAGCAATTGTTTGGTTAATGCTTCAGCTCTTTTTTGGCCTTCTTGGAGGGACTTGTTGATTTCTTGGCCTTGACAGCCTTTGCCGCCGTTTCGGACTTCGATTTGGACTCACGTGCTTCGCGGCGAGCCTCGATGATGTCCTCGCCAATGATGTCATCGTCGTCGTCCTCATCATCATCGTCGCCTTCCTCGTCGTCATCGCCGGCGATACCTGCAATTTCACCAATTTCATCGACTCCATCATCAATATCATCATCATCATCATCGTCCTCTTCGTCCCCGTCGTCCTCGTCATCATCGTACAAATCGTCGTCATCGTCGTCCGCGTCGTCAGTGTCGGCGTCAGTGGCAGTAGCGCCCGCTCCCGGAGCAGCAGCTATACCTGCAACCTCTCCGGCAACAGGTGTCGCCGCTTGCCCCAAGATTGTTGCACCACCGGCCACCACGTTGTTGTTAATGATGTTATTATTATTGTTGTTGTTGGTTAGAGTGTTCTTGGTGACTGTTGTTGTTGTTGTTGCATGCTGAGATGATGTCTGACCGATAATGGTTGCATGTTGCTGTTGCTGTTGCACTTGTTGTTGCAACTGTTGTTGTACGTTTGTTTGTTTCTGTTGTTCGTCAATTGCAAGGGTGCTACTTAAACTATTTGTGCCACCACTAACACCATCTACAAGTGCATCTTCATCGTAAAAAACATTTTGTTCACCTTCGTTGTTGCTGATGGCGGCGGCTGCCTGGGCGGGTGCCACGGCGGCGGAAACGGACTCATCGGCGGCATTTCCGGCGGCCACAGGTTCCGCAACATTTCCGGACTCGGCTGGCAGGTCGACGCCATCGGAGATTCCGGAGGTCACCGAAGAGGCGCCAGCGGGGGCAACCTCATCCAGCGCTTGAGCGGGGGCGGCTGTGACGGCGTTCTGAGGGGCACTGGCAGCAGGAGCCACTTCATCATCATCATCCTCATCATCGTCATCTGGATAAAAGGCAGGAAGTTGTAAGATTTAGTTTGCAGAAAACATATAGGATTTTTATAATTCTTGATGTGTACATAGAAGAACATAGAATAAGAAGAGAAGCTATGTAAACCAACCTCCAAGGATGTCATCGAACAGCCTGTCCAGATAGTCATCATCATCATCGTCCTCCTCCTCATCGTCATCGCTGGCAGCGGCCGGAGCAGCCTGACCCTGAGGTGTGTCGTCCTCCTCCTCGTCATCGTCATCATCCTCCTCCTCGTCATCATCTGAAAGTCCCGAAATCAAAAGAACTTTGTTACCCAAGGAGCAGGGACCACAAAAAAGAGTCACAAAAAAGGATTCGGTTAATAAAAGTATGAAAAGTATGATTGGTGGCAGGGTGCGAGATCATTGCTGTTTTGCTCAGTGGTTCAATGCAGTTGTTCATACAGTGGTGCTGGTGGTGGTGCGGCCTTGGTGCAATCAGTGGGCTAGAAACCGATCAAAGATCAGTGGACCTACCGTCATCATCATCGATCAGATCCCCTAGATCGGGCTCATCATCATCATCCTCGTCATCATCGTCGTCCTCGTCATCGTCACTGGCCGGAGCCGCCGCTGGAGCCACATCATTGTTGACCGTCTGCTGCCGGGCCACGGCCCTTTCGCTTCTGGAGAGCCGCTGCAGCGGGGATGCCTCAATCTGCAGCAGCAACGCGCTCAGGACGCACAACAAAATCACGAACTTCATTCTGTTAGATCTGCAAGAGACAGAGTTGAAATGGCCAGTTGTTAAATTTCGAATTTTATTTTCATTTTTAAATTGCCCGCAATTGACGGGCTTCTCAGCCACTTTCTTTTTCGCAACTGGACAAATTACACATTTAGTTCGTTCGGTCAATAAGCCAGCCAAAAAGATACAAAGCTTTAAGCAAAGAAAGCAGCAGACAAAGGAGCGGCTCCTCGTTCGTGTGAGAGTGCGAATGTAAACATGTTTTCGAGTAGCGCCTCAAAGTTGCCGCCGCCGGCAGTTGTCTGCTTGTCCAGTTGCCTGGCACTTGACACACAACACACACAACATACAGCAACAGTTGCAGCAACCTGAGCAACAACAACACCTTTTTCGGACAGCTGCAGGCGCCACCGTGTGGCACCGTGTGGCAGTTGAAATCCTAGCGAGACGAGCGGGTCTCACTCTCTCCCAGGTCGGTGGGAAACTGGCCAAAGTTCTCGCAGGAAATCCAGACTGAGAGGGTATTTACAGCTTCGGTGTGGCTGTGTGTTGCTGTTGCTGCTGCCATTGCTGGTGGCTTTTTAGTCATGACAATCGGCATGACCAACAGCCAACGGCAATTGCAAACAACCGCAGCAATTGTTGCTGTTTCTGTTGCTTTTGTTACTGTTGTTATTGTCGCAGTGTCAAGTGCGGCTGCTGCGGGCTTAGTGAAAGCGACGGCAACGTTGACAGAGACTGAAGCAGAAGCAGCAGCAGCAGAGACAGAGCTATAAGCCACCGCGACTGCGACGCAACGTTTTTCCCAAAAACTTGTTTGCAACGATTTGTTGCAGCAACTGTTGTTGCTGCTGCGTGGCTGCTTATTGAAAAATGAGTAAAACGCTTTCTGGAAATCAAGTCCAGAGCTGATAAGCAAACGGCAAAGTGGCCATAAACCAAAGTGAAAACCCAGTGACCTACTGGCCAACTGCAGCAGCAACATAAACGACAGCAACAGCAATATCAGCAACTTGGGGCAGTAGCCTTTACAATGGGTCTTTAGTTTCTGGGCTTGGGTTTGGGTTTCGGTTTCGGTTTTTAGAAAATCACCGAGTCGCTGTTTTATGGTTTTCCAATGGCCCAAGTTTCTGAGGTGAAAGACAGCGCCAGTGGCAGCATCGGATTTACGGCAACAGCAGTGTCAGCAGCCAAAGCAGCGAAGGCTGGCTCTTAATTAAAACTTTTACGATGCCAAGCTCCTGAGCGATGTTTATTAAATACCGATGCTCGAGGCAAATGCCTTCTGAGCGGGCCAAGACGTTGAGGAGTGGTTGGAAATGAGGCAAGTTCTTAGGCAAAATATGACGCCATATCACTTGGTCTAGGACACACAATCTCTAAGACAGTGGGTGTTTGTTTGTCAAATACGAGAAAAAATGTAAAGTTGCTTGAGGAGGAAAATATAACTTTTAGGAGCGAAAGAAACCTTTGATAAAAATCCTAAAAATTAGTCGTCTCTTAGCAATAGCTTTAAAAATCCTCCCTCCGAACCACTGTCGCTGCTGCCAAATCCTCTCTAGTCTTCTCCCATACTTTTCCCTTGGGCTGAAGCGTCCTTCTGTTTCGAAGTACTTATAAACTACCGCCTATTGAAGTCTTGAGGAAATTGCATTTACTTTTCGCACCGTCCCCAGCCCCTTCTGCCACAATGCGCTTTTATCTACCATTTTTCTCGCCGAACTCTGAGCATTTCACGCGTCATGCCGCAACAACAGCCACAAGCCGAAGAACAGCTATATGAGTGGGGTTAGGGGGGCGTGGCCAGGGGCAGAGCACCGCCGGAAGGGTTGAAGGGTGAAGGGCAGGCAACAATGCAATGCAAAACTTCTGACAAGCGTGGGACAGAATGGGACCTCGCTCCCTCACTCCTCGTGTTGTTTCTTCAAACTCTATCAAGTTTTTTGAATTTATTTATTTTTTTTTTAGCTTTAACATAGCACTTGGTTCCTTGTTCTTTCTCTTCATTGGATTCTTCTTGCACTTCTCCATGGTGTTGTCTATTGTAGGGACTAACTCATATGGAACGCTGCTCCCACTATACAATATTTTAATGCCCCCCCTATAGAAAAACGCAACTAACCGTGTGTGCATTCTACATTAATATTCATGTGCGTGATGCTGATGGAGAAGATACCGGGTGGAGTGCACTGGCAGAAGAATTATGTCAGAACTTTAGGTGTTGAGTTTCTTCCTCTCTTTCAATTAGAAACCTCTGACTATTCTCAGTGCATTTTAGAAGTGTTTGCTGTGCACTTGCACGTCACATAGCCAGCAAAAATTACTTAAGCCCCACTTTAGAAGGAAAGAGCAAGCTGCAGGGAAGTGCCATGGGTGGCGATGAGATCTTGGAAAGAGGGGAGGAAACCTTGCCTCAGGCGAAGCAGCTGCCACTTGACATTAGATTCTGTGCTGCCGCCTCGACTCCTTTATCCTTTATCCAGCCGCATTGTCATATCGCCGTCATATCAATAAATATGCAGGCCGCACAAAAGGCCACGTGCAGACAGGATTTGCATCCGCGTCCTCGAAGACACACCTGACAGTGCACCTGATTTTCACCCCATCCGTGCAAAAATCCCTCTTTGTTCGGGGCTAGCCCCATATGTTTGCGGAACCTTCCTTGTCTTCGCAGCTGCGGTGCAGTTAATTTTCCAAGACAATGGCCCAGAAGGTGGCGTGGAAAAATAAGCTTTACACGTGCCGCTTCAACGACCACGCCCCACCAAAATTTACGGCAAGTGGTTTAGGTTCAGAAGTTGAGTTTCGGGGGAGTTTCATGCTTAAATTCCTTTTCTAACAAAAAATATTCCAAAATTAAATTTCTCTCAAATTTTTCCCACATTTTTCTACATTTACATTTCAGGTTTTTTGGTTTTTTTTTTCTAACATTTGCCGTCACTTAAATTAGGACTTTGTTGCCACCTGGCAGAACAAGTTGGCAGCTTCAGCTGCAAGGGAAGTCTCTTCCCAAAAAAGAAGAAAAAACTGACAAGCTGCATAAACTTGGTCATGAACTAACTACTTAGAAGAGCAAAAAGCAAAAACTGCGTAAAAACACTACCGAAAAATGTGCGAAAAAGTGCAAAATGAATTGGAGCCACTCGAATTTGCTGCAGACATCGTTAATAGCTTGTCCTTGCTGGAGGATCCTTGCTCCTGGCTGCATTCCCATCCGTATCACTCATACGCCCCGTTGGCCCGTTGTTATGTTGAGTGTGTTTTGTTTTGGCAGCAAAGTGCTGGCCAATGTAAACAGTGTAAACTATAACTTGGCTGCTGGGAACTTGGCTAGCTGGTTGGTTGGTTGGTTGCTTGGAACTGGTTGAGGTGGCTGGTTCTGATGCTTCAGATGCTGCTGCTCGGCTGGAAGGCCAGGAAACACTTAAATTAACTGCTTCAAGTCGTTCGAATGTGGGTCAGCCGGGCAGAAGAAACCTGAGAGCTGAGCCATGAGAGATGATTACTCAACTCGGTTCGGTTTGCTTCGGTTTGGAATAGTTTTGTTTGGTTTGGTCTGCCAGCCGCAGAGCCCTAGTCCCCAATACCCTGACCCTCGAACGGCAAACAACATCAGCAGCACATGTGAAAATAGAGCGCATAAAAACCAGAGAAATTGCCAGCTGAACTGTATTGTGCTGGCCCTAAATTGCCGCAGATACAATTTATGACCCGGCCAGTTAAGAGTCCGACTCCGAGCACAAGTACAAGTTGCCTTCCGCAGTTGAAAATCAATTAAAAGTTCTTGCCCAAGACGTCTTGCCCCAACCAAGGCTATGTCCAGACGAGATGAGCTTTATGGCCGAGGGGACCAGGGTCTCTACATGCAAACGCTTAGATTTCCCACAAAAAAAAATATACGGAAAGCAGATAGAAATCGCTGGTAATCCTCTACACGTTCACACAGTTTTTATTTCAATGCCCCTGGGACCCGACTTTAAGAACAATATTCGAGAGCAGGACACTCAAATTTTCACACAGCAAAATCCTGAATAATCCCTTGAGCTTTGACGCAGTATTGGTGGCATTTAATATTTGTCCAAAAAATAGAGATTAGCTCTAGAATATTATTTGCTCTGGATAGAAGCACCAAATCGTTAAATCTAACACATATCTTTATACTCGAATGTAGAAACTATTAATTAGCAATAAGATGCAACCTTGGAATGTGGAAAAATATTTAGAGGGAAGAAGCTTAATTATTTTTCACAATTTTTTTCACTAAAAATTGGTAAGTCCTTTTGTTTAAACATCTAATTATGAGGAAATGGAACACAAACTAGTTTGAAAATGATCATAATCCTTTGCGGGTGTGTGTGTTTCTTTTTTGGAATCCAATGGCTAACCTTGACTAACAATTGTTCACTGATCGTAGCACAGAACCGATAATAACCGATTATATAGTTTGAATAGTTTTGGACCGGAGTTTAGACCGTAGCGCTCTCCTCGAGTTGCCGTCAAAGACTGTCGCTGGCGAATTGCTTCTTGGATGGTTTTGAGTTTTCAGTTTTCAGTCTTGAGCTTCGAGTGGCGTCGCCCCCCTGCGATTGCCCGATTCTTCGGAGACTTTCTTTTTTTTACTGCCGCAGCGCTGCCGACGCCGCGCTGCTCTTTACCTGTTTTTGGTTTTTTTTTGTATTTTTCTGGCAACCGACGATTCGATTCGAATTGAGTCGATTGTGGGTTGTGGCGTGGATTCTGGCCTGAGCTTGGATGCCTGGCTTTCTGATTTGGGATTTCGATTTCGGAGCTCGGTTGCTTTTCCAGCACCGCCGCGCACTCAACTCAAAATACTCAACTGTCTCGCTCGACTGACCGTCTGCAACTGATCACTGGCTCTTGGCTCCGCTTACCAGCTTACCAACTTACCAGCTTACTTACCAGGTTACTTCCCCAACTCACTAGCTTGCCACCAAAACCGAAGCTCGACCGAAGCGTGAACTTGCATTGCGTGGCTTCCACTTGGCTTTCATTCGCTCTTGAGTCTTCCGGCTCTCACCTGGGCGCTCTCTCAGCCCGATTCTTCAATTAATTTGACAGGCTGGGCTGGTCCGGTCTGGTCTGGTCTGGGAAAGTATTTGGCACACTAAACGGCCAGCTATAACAGTTAGCGGCTTGTCAGCGGCGGCCACTTCATGAATTATGATCTAAGACGGGCGAGTCTCGTTGATTTGTGATTGGGGGTTTTGGCTTTTGGATTTGAGTTTTCTGGCTAATGAGTTGTGGGTTGGAAAATAGGACAGAGCCAGGCCATAAAACTGGCTCAGCTGATAGCTTATCCAAATGATCCAATTCAGAGGCCATGATTCTGTAATTAAATCTTTGGATAGAAATAAAGACGATATGGGAAAAGGTTTTCAAGAAACTTTTAATGGGGGGATAATGACTTATAAAATAAAGAATAAATTAGCATTTAATTAATACTTATAATACTGAAATTCTTTAATTGAAAACCTCTGTTGAAATACCTTTATTCATCATCATATTTTTTCAAATATATCAACCTTTATCAACTGTATCAATTTCTCTGATTTATTTTCACAATCAATAAAATTCTCTCCACTGATTTCCTTGTTTTCCCGCCCAGAGCCATCACTTCACAATACAATCATATTTTTTTCGCACCTGGAAATGCGAATCAGAGGCCGTATAGCACTTAATATTGATTTTATTCAGTCATCGCTCCGCACCCTAACCCCATTCCGCGTTCTCCTGGCCCCGATCCGGCAATGATGTTCGCATATTATGCATATATAGCCGGCGATATATATTTACATGCACGTATGTGCGAGCATTCCTCAAGTGCTAATTTCTGTTTCTGCTACATCAAAGTGAAATCGCACTGCTGGGCATTGGAGTATTGGTGGCTCGAATAAAAAATAAATATTAAGCTACCAAAAAGGTAAGTGCCTTAAGAAAATAATGTTATGCTTTGTAAAAAAATAAATGTACACTCGATGATAAATTGAGGTGTAATTAATTTGATTTGCTTTGACTGGATGACTGCCTGACTCGCTGACTGGCGTTTCATTTTCAGTGTCCGGGATAAGGAAAATTGACAGTCACTGCACTTGGGGCTCGAACTCGAAGCTTTCCCATACGCGTGAAAATTGGTTGACAGTGACGTCGGCTGAGACTGAAACTGAGACGCTGGCTGAGGCAGAGGTTTTGGCCAAGACCGCAACATCAACGGCGGCAAAGACGACGCTTCCAACAGTAAAACGTGTTCTACTCGTTTATGGCCACCGCTTCTTGGGCAAAAGTTGTTTTTACTGTAGTGCGGCTCTGGCTGTCTATAACTTTCTTCGCAAGTGGTGGCTGCCATTGGCCAACTGGAGCCCCAAGTCGCTTCGAGCCAACTCGCTGAATGGTACACAGCATAGTAGTCAGTAGTAACTCTCTGCACAGCATTTCTGTTAACAGGTCAGTGGAGTTTTCTTAAACTTCCAACTTAGCCCGAAACTGAAATCGAGAGACTGACTGCAGAGGCTTAGAGAATGTTACGAAATTTTATGTAATGTGCCAAAATCAAAATAACAACAAAAAAGAAGTTGGAAGTTGGTAGTTAAAAAAAAAATCTGAGAAATAAGAAAAACAATGCACAGCCCACAGCATGCTCGGTGAACAATTCACAAAAAAATAAACTTTCATTTCAAGGCAACACTCTCCGGTTGGGCAAACTTTAACTATTTTTTGAGGGAAGCCACGGCACAAGTTCAGAAACCATATAATTCAACGTTTTAATGGCTTAATACACTCTGACATCTGTTGGCTTTTGGGGTCAACCAGGTGGCAAAGTTGTTTGCAAGCCAAAAAGGGGAAAACAATCACATCAACACCCCCGCCCTCGGCTAATCAAAATCTTTCTCCTCTTACATATTTTAGTAAACAAGCCGGAGGGGATAGTACCATAGGGTGGTAGGGTAGATAGTAGTAGGAGATGGAGTTAAGGGTGTTTAGTTATTTTCCTGCTCCATTTGACTAATTAATTTTTGGCCCAACTTGCTAGACTTCAGTCTTGGCTAATATAACTGGCGCGGTGGGGGGCTGCCAAAAGTTTTTCCGGTTTATTAATTTTTGTTGCACTAGTTGTTGTTTTGCTTCCGGCCATCCGCCTGCCGCCCGCCGCCACCCGCTGAAAATCTTTTCCAGCCATTGGCGTCTCTAATTGAAAATTGCCGCCCGCCTATTTAGCACTATAGTGGATTCTGCAATTAATAATACATGTCAAGTGTGTATAGTGTTAATTAGAGAATGGTAAAAAAAAGAAGAACCACTCTGGCGGAAAAATTACAGTTTGTGAGAAGTTTTTGGCTAATTTATAGCGATTTAATAGGGATTTCAAAGGAAAACTTTTAGCTAATTTACTATGGAAAGGATTTGGAAACTAGGTCTGATTTTTTCCAATTTAAACCCAATATTTCTTGTTTTAACTCATCCTTATTCCATATTTTTAACCCTCTTAAATTCAACTAATAAATCCAGCCCACTTTTACTTATTTCTCTGCCACTTTAACTGAAACCGCTTATCACTAATTATCGCTCAACCGCTTCTCGGCCATGAAACTCCTTATTAACCGAATCGAAAGACTGACTCCACCCACCGCCACGTACATTGTTCATTTAAGGCTCATTATTGTTCTGGCGCGCTCATTCAGGCAATCCAATTATCCTCACTAACCGACCCCCGTCGACAATTAAAGGCATGAAATTATTTGATTACCAACGTTTTGTCGCTGTCTCGACGAAAATTTCGCTTTTCTTTCGCCGTTAAAGCCGCACGAACCTCAGAAGCCTCAAAACCTTCACGACTTTTCCACGTGTTGCAATGTGTTGGTAAAGTGTGTTTGGACGGTTTTTTGGAATCGTTTCCGTTCCGAGGCTGTAGTTGTGAGTGAGATTATGCATGAAAGCGCCTCTGTGTGCCTGGAATAATCAAGGTTCGCACTTTTTCAGGGGCGTGGCAGCTTTTCACACGCGCCAACCGTCAATAAAGTGAGTTACAGGTGCGGCGCGGGGTGTTGGCATCCCGCTGGGACACGTCAACTAATCGATTTTCAAAAAACATAGTTAGTCTCTAATATTGGCAGAGCAATCGCTGATTAAATGCAAAGTGCGTGCCGGCAATTTCGTTTTGTTTAAAGTGAATACATGGTTAGCCAAAGCCGAAAGCCAAATGAAAACCAATCGCGATGGACATTGTGTGGATTTGTATTTGGATTGGGATTTGCGTTTGACGCTACTGAATTTCATTTCATTTGGACATTACATTCAATTTTTCATGCTGCCCTGCACTGTCACTATGGTACGTTGGCAATGGCTGCCTTTTGGTTTCATTTTTATTTTTTTTTTTATTTTTTATGAATTCATTCACGTACTAGGGTACACAATAGGCAAACTCAACGCGAACTCTCTTGACCGTTAAGTTGAATGCACTGAAGAAAAATCAATGAATTAAAGGAAAATAATTTATAAAATTTTAGGAGATTATAGGAGACAATACGCATCACAGTATTGCAATAAAACCCTGATTTAAAGGTCTTTTTTTTTATTAAAAATATTAATACTTTTCTCTAGTGTACCTCTGGAAGCGCCTGTGTCCGCCTTCAGTCTCATTTCGCATTCAATGAACGAACGCATCCATCCATCGAACGAAAGCCAAGACAACCGAAGCAATTTCAATACAAGCGAACAAAATCAACGGCAGCCACAACGGAACAACAACCCGAAGAAATGGTAAATGAAAGTGCCCTCAAAAGGTTTTCTAAATTTGTACCTCACCAAGTGCGCGAAGAAGAGTTTTTTCCAATTTCAATTTTTATGCATAAACTCGTATAAACGTATATATATTTTTTAGGTTGGGCTTAATTGTGTCGCGCGCTCTTCAGTAAATTACGAGGACTGACTGAGAGAACTCTTCATGTGGACGATTAGCGAAAGTCCATGATTATACACGTATATTGATATTAAGCTGGTTCTATCCAAATCGGTGGAAGAGAAAGAAAAAGTTATCATGGTCTGGAATCGTTAAAATCCCATCGAATGAGCTGTTTATGCCTATTTTTACTTTCAGGTTAGCGGCTTCTATTTCTTTTCTACTCAGGGGCCAGGGCCAATAGCCAATGGCCGAGGCCTATCCGGAGTTGGCCAAGAGACAAGTGTTACACAGGAAAAAGTTTAAGATAGAGGTCAATAAACTTATCTTTTAGACTTTACATTTTATTGAATAGTATTATGTACATATGTAGTTCTATCTTAAGACTTTATTGCAGAAATTTGCATAGTTTTTGTATCTTTTTTACAACAAATTTCCTTTTTACTATTTATTTAAATGCTCCTTATTATTTAGAATATTTAAGAACATTTCTTTCTCTCAGTGCACCCAGCTGAGAGCAGTAAGTGGCTCTCGCACAGGAAGGGAAAGCTGCCAATGCCGGAGTCTTGTTTTACAGCTTCAAAGAAAAGCAAAAGTCTGAGGCACATTATGGCCAGAAATTGACATTCTTTGCAGCCCGCTTCCAACCAGCCCTCCCCCCGGGGTCCACCCCTTTTGGCCATCCGTTCGCGTTGGCAGCATCAGCAACACATCGAAAACAATTCGAACCAAAAAAAAAATACCAAAAAAACTGGCTCCAGGCACTTTCTCTTTCTTTCACTGACGATAACGGACAGGCTTCGTGATGGGCGGGGAAAAGGTGGCTTCAAGGGGGCGGGGACAACTAAAACAACAAAAAGGGAAGCATCAAATCATCGACAAACATCCGACAACAACAAAAAAAAAGAAACAGAAACAACAACGACAATCGAAGTAAATAGACCAATTGGTTATGTTGTTGGTGC